TTCTGACACTTGGGGAACTGACTTGGCTTTTTTGAGTTTGGGCAATGACACAGGGGCCCCATGATCCCCTATTGCCTGGGGGCCCTATGAGTTGTCAGTCCGCCCCTGATCACTACTGGATTTTAGATTTTTACTGTAGAGTAATGTAGGTGTGTTTCAGTGCTACACGTTTCCTAGAAATCTTCCTTAGAAAAAGTGCACACACAAGCTGATATTTTATTGTAGTACTATGGAGAACTTCAATGGAATCAACATGACACATAGTTTGTATGGCTGAAAAACGACAAAAGTCAATCCAGTTCAACCATAAAAACCACACACAAAAACCAAAGCTGCATAACGTGCCTTTCGTAAGTTGCTGTTAGTTAATATATCCTTTGTGACAGTGTGAGGCCCTGCCACTGTGAACTGGATATAGGAATAACACAGGGTTCACACATATGCAGAGTGCAGGGCCTCAGAGTGTTTATTATGAGTGGATAAAACTGTTTATACAGCTTTCCCCGAGTTTTGTAGTCCTGAATCGGAATCTGGAGCTTGAAGCCTTCAAAGTGTCTTGGCTGTGATGAAGCCTTCAATCCTGTGTCCAAGTCTTATTAAAGACCTGCAGACTGCAGGAGTGTACAGGTGTGCACACATGGTAAAAGCAAAGCTTAGGTAAAGCTCAGGGCTCCAGCCAAAAGGGAGGTGTGCTCCTGTTAGAAGACAGAGATGCTGGAGTGATTCCGTGTCCAATGGGCTGAGAGAATTGAGGAGGTTAAGTGGACAGAGGGAATATGTAAGTCTCGGGAAGTGAGAGAGCCCATGGTGCTAGGAGAATCCCTAGTGAAGGGCAAGGAGTGGGCCCATACACTGGGGAGCTGTGACTACAGGCTGAGCGAGACAGGAAAGCCAAGAGAGCCAATAGAGCTGAGTGAGATGGTCTGCAGGAAGAGCAGCAGTGCTGCTGAAGAGAGAGCCAGGTGGCTTGGTATTTTTTTAAATTGTTTTACTTATGAAAATCTCTTGTGTGGGCCACTGCTTTGTGAACCTTTAATTTTTCCTTTAAATAAAAGTGAGCTGGCAAGCGCTGAAGCACAGTTCAGACTGGTGTGGACTCACTAAAATGCTTTTACCACCCACTGAGCTAAACATCCTCCATATCACACCTCAGTGTGTTATACTTCCATGGTGGAGTCACTTCATTTTTTCTCCTTCACTCCCAGTTGACTCTGCTGGCTGTTACTGTATTTGGCAGTGTTATCCCATTTATGATAAACAACAACATGGTGGAGCACAGTAGAGTTAAGATGATATGAATCTGGATCTTTTCAACTTCACCAAAGATGTTCTTTTTGCTGAAATCCATTGACCTATCTTGGAGCCATATATTAAATGATTCAGTATGTTTGTAAATTCTACTCTTAATAAGAGAGTATACACAATACTTTTTGGAATGTCCTTAATTGAATTCCTCCAGCTTTTTTATCCTGCTCATTAATTCATAAGTGGTGAGTGAAAGGCAAAGTACATTACTTACTAGTTCTTAATATATTTTTTCAGATGTAAAGTGTACATTCAAAGCTGTATATATAGAATAGCTGTCGAACTCTATTGCATGCCAACCTGTTGCATAATATTTCGGTACTTAGGAGTAGATTTCCCTAAGTACTTGAAATCCAAATCAATATCCAAACTCTTGACGATACTGACTATGCCTGAATCTTCCTTAACCAAACATATAGAAGTTGGAACTTATTCTGCCATCCCTGTTGAAAAAGTCCGGATGTGACAAAACGCGTCTGGGGCACGTGACGTAGTGACGCATTGATGTTTCCAGAAGTGCCTTGGTGGCCATTTTGGGTTCTGGAACACGTGGTTGTTCATATCCCTGGGACTTCCATTTACCACCTGGCTCTCCGTTAAGAGTTGAATGGCCACTGCTTTGGAGCCACCGTTGAGTATTGATGCTGTCTATATTGTTTCATGATATGGAAGCTGATTTCATCGTTCCTTGATGTAAGTTGCTACAATAAAATTGTGTGTTATCTGATTCAAATGCTGATCCCTGGTCTGTTTATGAGGTTTATGGGAAGTGTCTGGAGAAGAGGTTGTCATTTGGAGGAAATTCCATTCTACTATTCTTACTATGGATCCTATGCTGGTTTAATTTACCTTAGGATTTTCTGGAATTTCACCATCGACTTCTCCTAGTATCTGAGTCATTGTGAATTTACCTACAAGTATTTTTGGACTTTATTTTGGACTTTGGGTTGAAGTGATATTATTGACTTATTTATTTATTTATTCAAGTCTGTTCGAATATTTATTTAATAAGCCAGACATAATTTAGATATTTTTAACTTTTGCCACTTTTTGAAATATAATATCAAGGGTTGTATGCTGTAAGTTCTCTTCAACTATTCTTTAGATCAATGTTTCTCTTCCATTTTTTATTCAAGGCACCCTTTAAAATTATGGACAGTCTCAAGGCACCTCATTCTAAAATGTAAAAACACCCACACATGTAGGACACCCAATGTTAGAGGGGATTTATTCTTCCAATGCAAATACACTTTTGCACACTGGTACTAAATGTTTATCTTTTCCCTCAGTTTCTCTCTGTCACTCAGCTAATTTGACCACATTACTGACAGAGAGGGGCAGGGGAGGGCCAAAAAAGGATGTTGTGCAGGCAACAGACATCATCCATGTCAACTGATGGCGTCATTGGTTGTTAGTATGCTGGCGGCTAGAAGGTTGTAGTGGTGCACAATGAAAACCAGTGGCTTTGTATAACTAAAAGGCAGGCTTGATCCATCCACTGGCTTGTATACAGTTTTTGGGCAATGTTTAGGCAGTTTTCCGAAGCACCCCCTAAAGAAATGTCAAGGCACCCTGGTTGAAGAGGTCTGTTTTAGATTACAATGAAGGTATAGGAAAAGTTCTTTATCTTGGAAAAAAGCTCCCCTACTTGGCTACAGTAAACAATTTACTGATCATATCAGGTAACTATGATTCATCTGACTCTGCTAAAGATAAACAGTTACCTTTTAATGGACGCTTAGGAGAAGGACTAGTCAACATGTTCACCAGCTCGTTCTATCCAGACAGTTTGTGACAGTATGAAATGAGTGGAGTGGATATCACAGAGAAAGTAAGATGCAGACTGTAATATTAACCTGACAGGGGTTCTAACCCTTTTCCATTTTGCAGCAGTCTTTATCCCCACAGGAGATACTTCACATCATTTCCTTTCCCAAGGAAAGGAATGAAGGAAAATCTTTCTAAAGGGGATCATAGACTTCAGTAAAAACAAGAGTTCCATACTGTCACAAGCAGACTGACGGTAGCCTCTAGCGACCCAAAGGCTGGAGTCCCTCAGGGCGCGGAGTCTAAGCCTCAGTCTGCTGGTTCACCAGATGGTGGGGATGGACTTGAAGCAGCCTGAGACCAGGTCGCGACCACCGAGTAACACCAGCTGTGGTAAAGGCAGCCATCAATGGTGTATAGCAGGTAAGAGCCAGATGTGAAGAGGTATAACGTGGTCAGACAGGCCGGGTTGGTAACAGCAGAGCAGACAGTACAGAACGGCAGGCAAAGAATAATCAGGTCACAGGCCGGGTTCAGCAACAGGAGGTCAGGCAATAGGATCAGGCAGAGAATGGTCAGGACGAGCCAAGGGTCAGAGCAGGAGAAGACAACAGTATCAGGATCAGGCTGGGTTGGCAACAAGGCAGTCAGAAGTACAGGACAATCAGCAACACAGGAACAAGACCATAAGGCGATTTGGAGATGCACAGGGCTGGTTTAAATAGGGCGCCCTATTTTTACTACGATATCAAAGCGGAGCTCCACCCAAAAGGGGAAATTCCGCTTTAAGTAGTGGTCCCCCGCTCCCTGTGAGGAATTGGCACCTTTGGAGAGCGGGTACCTGTCAAAATTTAACTGGAGCTCCGCTTTAAGCATATATCCTCCAGTGGTATTGATGGAAACATTAATTCCCTCATGGAGGCAGTGTAGTAGAAGTTTGGTAATTGATAAGAACAATGTTGAGACTGTAGATGCTGGCTGCAATGAAGTGATCACTGCTTTATTTGATTTGGTGCTGTAGTTTGAGAATGGGGACATTCTGCAACAGTGCATGCATCATATAAAACAAAAGGCTTACAGCAAATTTGAAATAAAGCTCTCTCAAACCAAACTATTATTGCTTTTTTTGTTAACTTTCCTTGGACTTTTCAAGCCACAAGATGTTTCTTCTTCCGTATCTCTGCTTCCATAGTCAATGGTTAAATTGACTGCCTAATCATGTTTCTGTTCTTGTTCTGCAGATAGACTTTCCTCAGCTGTCTGCCCAATTGCTCTCAGTTCAGGATATTATAAGGAAACATTTCTATGTATTTAATCTTTACTTAAAATAAAAAACTACTTAGATATGCTCATTGATCTTTAACATGGGACATGCAGCATGTAAAAGGACAAGTGAAAGTGTGTATTACACAGACAGAGCAGCAAATTAGCTGGAAGAGATAACATTTTGATGTGCTATTCTTAATAAACTCAGCCCAGCATCTGAGCTTATCATACAGAAAGAATTAGATGACCTGGAACAATGAAATCATTTTGCGGATATAGAATTGCTCAAGATGAGTGAGTGACAGTGATATCTGTGGAAACAACACTGTTCAGCCAGAGATTATGATTATTCTATTGCACTGCTGAGATGGGGATAGAATGGCAGAGAACATGGGGATAAGTGAATTGAAAAAATTGTAAATACAGGATAAACGCTGCTGATGAGTCATCCATGCAGGTACAAGGATTGAAATTAGCAGGTTCTCTCTGTTGGTGAATAGTAAGATTGTTTTAGGGAAAATGCCAAGAATACTTTTTCTTAAATACATGTTAGGAATAATTGCAGACTTTTATACCACCTGAAAAAGTTTGGCCTATGACAATGAAAAATATTTTTAAAAAATGTATTTTCCATTTTTTCACATTGTTTACAGATACTAGCTATTGGACCAGGGGCGGACTGACCATTTGGAAACTCGGGCACTGCCCGCGGGCTCGGGGTCAGTAGGGGGCCCCATGAGATGCCCCTGGTACCTTTTTCATAGGCTTTTTTAAGTTTGGGCAAGGACACAGGGGCCCCATGATCCCCTATTGCCCGGGGGCCCCATGAGTTGTCAGTCCGCCCCTGTACTGGACTGTTCTGTGTCTTTAAATTTGGGTTTCGGAAATCAACAATTTTTTTCCAAGTTTTGAGTGGTTACTCCAAAATATTCCTAAGGTACAGCCATTGAAAGTCCTTACAAAAACCTCATCTATTCTGATTTTAAAATAGCTAATTGTGCTAGATGCTATGCACTTGCTTGGGTGAAAGCTCTTCCAAAACTTCCAAACTATATCTCAGTACCTTCAACTGTCATTCAAAGTATTTCTGATATCCTGCTTTGAATCAGTTCCTCCAAGCAGCACCCTCTACTCATCTACCAATACTTTGCTAATCTTCTTCCAGTTTGTGGAAAGGCTCCTCTCCTCACCCAGCATCAGAAGCAGAATTTCAGCTTCTGCTAAACATTGAAATTGTGTATTCCAAATACATGAAATATCCTGCTTCGACAACAAGTGGAATTAGGGCTCATGCACACAAATGCATTCTTTCTTTGCAGCATAAAACGCTGGGGTACTACACACTTTCATGTCTTTGGGTGGCTGTACGCAGCACAAGGGGCTCCCAAACACCAAAATATGCCAGCAAGTTGACGTTGTAAGGAGGAACACACCCATGTGAATGAGCCTTAATAGTTTCACTGACAAAGTCTATTCTGTGTGTATGAGAGAAAGCAGGTGTTTACTAATGACCATGGCATAGGTGGCCTTATAGTAAAGCAAATTCAGTCTAAAACTTAGAAAACCCTGTTAGAGATGGATATAAATGAATTGGCCAAGCCATGGTGCTTTTCTCTGAGCAAAGATTTAGATATATATATATATATTAAACTGCCCCAACCAGATTGCAAACAGCAATACAAACATGGAAGAAATGAATCAAATGAAATTCTAAGGTACTAAAGTAGAGTGGAGTAATAAAAAAAATGTAGAACTGTGTTGCTTAAAAGTGAATAACCTCAAATCTCCCCCACTAATTAATTTTGAGATCAAGTAATTCAAATTAAATACAATACAGAAGTTTGGAATTAAAAAGGAAAAACCTCAAGTAGTAAGGAAGTTGTATGACAAGCCCCACAAATTTGTGAGCACTTTAGCAGTATTTTGAATGATACATCAATATGGGTTTCTTGGATCACTATAAAGCCTAATGATGGGCTTGATGTTCAAGTCGAATGTAAGTTTGACTCGAACATCGGACGTTCATGTGTTCGATTAACACGCGAACGGTAAGGGTGTTCAGTGGGCTGTATGCCCGCCGCGCCTCACAATGCACTGTGCTCTCACAGTGCATTGTGATTGCTGAATCATTAGTGTTCCCCCTTCTGTGTTGCAGGTGTTCCTCCTTCTGTCTCAGCAGTGGTTTCCTTTTTTTTTTTTTTTCTTAATTTAATTGCATTAATTTACTGTATCTTTGCCGTAGCAGCAATTTGAAAAACTATTTAAGCATTAATTGCTGTTCCCTCTTTTGCATCACAGGTGTTCCTCCTTCTGCATCAGCAGTGGTTCCCTTTTTTTTGGCTGATTTTTGTTTTAAATTTTATTTATTGATTTGCCATTCATTTATATTTGCCGCAGCAGCAAAAAATAGTTTGTGCATATTTGCAGTTCCCCCATATGCAGTGCAGGTGTTCCTCCTTCTGTGTCTGTAGTGGTTCCCTTTTTTTATAGCTTTCTGAAATTTTTTTTTTCCAGCAGCAAAAAAATTTATTTTTTTACTTTAAGTAATTAAAAATGCCTGCCTCTTTAACTACCTCCCACCCACCATATAGTACAATGACAGGTGCAAGGCTGTTCTCTCGTTCTGGGAGGACGTCATATGAAGTCCTGCCATTCTAACCGCACATGCGCAGCGATTGGCGGTGCGCTGTGTCCCTCGGACACAGTGGATCACCGATCAACGGAAAAAAGCAGAAGATGTCGGCTTGGTCATGTGATCAGCTGTGTCCAATCACAGCTAATCGCATGTAAATAGGTAAATGCTGGTTATCGGCATTTCTCTCCTCACAAGCTGTCACGCTGACAGCTCGAGAGGAGAGGAGAGACGGTAATCGGCATTCCCCACAGGGGACATGTACACTGATCATCAGGGCACTGATGATCAGTGTGCCCTGATGATCTGTGTAGCCCCAGCAGTGCCACCTGTCAGTGTCCATCAGTGCCAGCTGTCAGTGCTCATCCATGCCACCTGCCAGTGCCCATCAGTGCCACATCAATGCCACATTTCAGTGCCCCTCTGAGCTGTCTTTCAGTGTCACCCACCAGTGCCAGTCAGTGCCACCTATCAATGCCAGTCAGTGAGGTCTATCAATGTGCATCAGTGCCGCCTATCAGTGTCCGTCAGTGCTGCTTATCAGTGCCACCTAACAGTGCCAGTCACTGCCACCTAACAGTGCCAGTCAGTGCTGCCTATCAGTGCCACCTATCAGTGCTGCCTATCAGTGCCATATATGAGTGCTGCCTTTCAGTGCCCATCAGTGATGCCTGTCAATGCCCATCAGTGCCACCTACCAGTGCCTCCTCATCAGTGCCACCTATCAGTGTCCAGAAGTGCAGCCTATCAGTGCCCATCAGTGCAACCTCATTAGTGCACATCAGTGAAGGAGAAAAATCACTTATTTACAAAATTGTATAACAAAAACTAAAGAAAAAACTTTTTTTTTTCAAAATTTTCAGTGGTTTTTGGTTTGTTTAAGAAAAAAAAAATCAAAAATCCAGAGGTGATTAAATACCGCCAAAGTAAAGCTCTATCTGTCACAAAAAAAATGATAAAAAATTTCATATGGGTACAGTGTTGCATGACCGCGCAATTGTCATTCAAAGTGCAACAGCGCTGAAAGTTGGAAATTGGTCTGGGCAGGAAGGGGGTATAAGTGCCCTGTAGGCTAGTGGTTAAAAACAGTGCTATTTAATTTTTTTTTTTCACCAATTCATGTCCCTCATGACAAGTCCCATACCCCTTTTATGACAGTTAGCTTGCATATAAGCCTTCAAAAGGGGCACTTTTGAATTTAGAAGTTCGAGTTCAATAGACTTGCATTGAGTTCGAAGTTGGCGGTCAAACATTCATTAAGTTCAAATGTTCGACCACAAACCGAACACGGGGGTGTTCAGCCAATCACAAATAAAGACTGGTGTGTTTCTTTAAATATATTGTCCCTGATCATTTGATTTATGCAAAAATACTCTCTTTTCAGATGAGGACTTTTAAAAGCACTCTTTCTGACATTATCTTCAGCACAGTATAAGAAAGATACTAATGGATGCCCATTTTTGCAATAGTAATATGAAGAGTGGAAAACAATATAGAAAAATGTTATATTGCAGGTACAAATAAAAACATAAAGGACAATAATAAACCCAAAATACTTTTCATCCCCCCAACCTGTTCTGTAGAAACCTTAATTGGTTCAAGCTCTATTTTCCAAAAGCCAAGCCGCTGTGAGGACAATATGGCAGATCACCAATGGTGAAGAGTAAGTATGGTTTAGTGTTAATGATTCAAAATAAACAAGTTAATCATTCTTGTGACATCCCAGAAATGAAAAACAAATGGTCGCATAGATATTTTTCTCCTCCAAGGTATGATTAATTGTCAAATGTGCCATAATAATCTTTGTTTAATGTCGGTGCAACAGATATAAGGGGTTATGATTATGTCTTCTTTCTAGGTGTTGTTGGACTTTGGAAGAAAGTTATGATGGACAATACCAAAAAGTTTTAGGAGACAAGACAATGCAAATTACTTGACACCATAATAATGAGAGAGGTGGCTGTAGGTAAGCATGACAGGGGGACTATCCGATGCAAGTTGTGTTCTCCTTCAGTGTCTACCGGCAGTGGTTCTGTGCAGCAGTTAGAAGATATAAGTTTGACTTATAGCCAGATATTTTAACTGCACAAGTATAAAAAGTTAACACAAACAGAAAATTTCCAGAAAACACAGTAAAACCCAAAGCAGTTTGCTAGAATACAGATGAGAAGCAGTAGGACAAGATCGGGTCAGGCTACAGGTGAAAAAATTTAATTATGCAAAAACCAAACACCAAAGACTCAAATCAAAACCAGAGGCTTCCAGATGCAGTAGAAATCGAAGGATCAGGCAAGTACTAGTAAGAAACAGCTGATTTTAAACTGAGTCATATACAGGAGGTCCAGGAATAACAGAGGCAGACAGGTTTTATCACAGGAACTTTTGGAGTGCATTGATTCACATTTAGCTTGTGCTTATTGCAGCTGCAGCACAACCAGCATTTCTGAGTGTTCCAGCACATGGCACGGGCATATACGGAGATATGGCAAGTTTGGAGAATTCAATGGTACACTAAGTTGATCTTTATACAGCATTTTGTAACAATGAACCACAATAGTTTTTATGAAATGTTTTCATTTATCAAAGTCATCAAAGTGTGACAGAATCACTCGCTATAGTATTAAAGTGTTAAAAGAAAATGTGATGCTTGGGGGTTGTCAGCTCAAGTGTAGTACTCCTAAGTGAATTCAGTCCAGAAATGCAGTTTAAGGCCAGACTGGCCCACTTTTTTTAAAACAGAATGGAAAAGTTCACACAGAAATTAGTTGCCAACAGGGGCGGACTGACCATTTGGAAACTCAGGCACTGCCCGAGGGCCCGGGGTCAGTAGGGGGCCCCATGAGATGCCCCTGATACCTTTTTTATAGGTTTTTTTAGTTTGGGCAAGGACACAGGGGCCCCATGATCCCCTATTGCGCGGGGGCCCCATGAGTTGTCAGTCCGCCCTTGGTTGCCAACGCAGGAATTTCCACTATCAACGCAAACATAAATAATTTAATGCCTCCTGGCTATTCCTAGCAGCTTTGCTGCTGTAGCATTTTGCCTTGTTCCTCCAGACCATCTAACATAGCACCTCTGTGTTCCTGTCCAAACTCTGTGCTCCTGTACAAATTATGTGCCTGACACTCAGCTCTCTGCTTCTCCATCATCAACTGCACCTTCACTGTGAAGACATACACTCTCTGGCTCTCCCATGCAGCCTCCTTGACTCCTGGGAAAGGTTGGAGTCCTACTGACTTCTATGCAGAGACCTCCTGCCTCTCAGATGGAGCTCTGAGCTAGGCCCAAGCCTTCATTATAAGGGCTGTGTGCACCGGGATACACACCCTGCTGGTTTTTTAACAAAACCTGGACATTGGGTTAGAAATTTCTTCCTTCCCAAGGCACTTGACAATCTCCAAATTCTGCATACTTGTGAATCCTGTGTCCTTTTTACAGCCATTCACATAGTGGCAGGGCTTCACACTGTCACAATACACATCAATCATATGTGTAGGCAGGCAAGAGTAATTTTTGAAAACACACACAGGAATTTCCCTGATCTATCCCTTATCCTTAGGAACTTTTGCATAAGTATAGCCTACCTTTCCCTAACCAGATGTTGTCTGTTCCTTACTAAATATTTACTACACTGCAGGAGCGCAAAAATGATTCAGTAGGGGCGTGAGATAGCCTGAGTCCAAGATGGCTGCCCAAATCTCTGGAGAGCTCTGTGTGCAATTAGACACAGGTTAACCCAAGATGGAAGCCAGGAACCCAGTGCAGAGGACAAGTCAGTCTTCTGCAAGGTTTCCCAAGTATGAGAGGTAAACAGCGATCATGTGATTACTGTTAACAAAAACATACCCAAATCTATGGCTCCGCTCCAGACTTGCTGCTTTCATCTCACACAGAAAACTGGGGTTCTGGCTACCACAGCCCCTTCCCACTCTCACTCAAAAGCCAAAAATATAAGTACCACTCCAAAGCTTAGCTCTCTCTGTGTTTAATTTGTCAAACAAAAGACTGCATATATTGGTGTCTCTACCTGAAACTTAAAATCATAACATGTTTCAATGTTTCGAGTCAATATTGAACAGGTATACAGATAAAGATTTTTCACTGTTATTTTAATTCCTGATCTCTATACTTGTTCTGATGAGTGACTATAAAGTATTGAACCCAGGGAGTCAGAATAGACTGGCTACAACCAGGAGGACAGCAATAGTAGACTGTGTATTTCTCTCTTGTGACAGAGTTATTGAAAGTATAACTGGGCAAAATAATAAAAAAAAACAGTACATTTCAGCAATAAATAATTTTAGGCTACATTCACACCTGTGTTTTTGCTTTACACCATGTGGATGCAAGAAATCGGAGGGGGCCCACCGATTAGCAGCGGGAGGCAGCCTCATTGAAAGCAAAGGGAGGTTGCCAGCTCCCACAGCTAATTGTAATCACTATGTGGTGATTACCTGCAAACAGGGGCGGACTGACCATTCGAGCACTCGGGCACTGCCCGAGGGCCCGGGGTCAGTAGGGGGCCCCATGAGATGCCCCTGGTACCTTTCATTGGCTTTTTCATAGGCTTTATTGGGTGTGGGCGAGGACAGAGGGGCCCCATGATCCCCTATTGGCTGGGGGCCCCATGAGTTGTCAGTCCGCCCCTGCCTGCAAGTGATCGGCCCTGGATGCAAACTGTCGCATCTACATGTTCTCAGGCAAAAACCCAGGTGTGAATGTAGCCTCACAAATGCTGCAAGTAGGGGAAAATATCTGTTGATCTGCCAGAAATCAAATGAGCTTCTTACTTCTTGTAGTGAATTACTATTTTGCTGTGCTGAAATCCAAAGTAGTGTTGTCAGCCCTGTTGAACGTAGGCAGAGATGACACTACTTGGGATTTCAGTGAAGGAGAGGCAGCATTGTCAACTCACTACAGGATATTAGGAGCTCCGTGGAATTCTGGCAGCATTAACAAGTATTTTTCTGTACTTGCAGTGTTTAAAAACAGATAAAGCATGGGGACTGTACATGTATTGCATGTTTATTTCCCCAGAAATAAACTTTAAACCTAACTTTTATTTCTTCTACTAAAAGTCTTGAAGTTTTGGGTGCTCAAAGTGGGAAATTTGTCTATAAGGTGTTGAATACTACTGGTGTACCACATATTGAACTGTTTCATTCTGGTTTGGACATAATGGTCATTACTTTGATTTGGACATAACTAGGATGTCTCTCTTGTAATTACTCCTAATGGTGGGGGATAGGGTATTTGTTAAATGGGGGAAAACATTTGTTTGGAACCGTTGATGGAAGGTTCATTGCTGATGACTACATCCTGCACCTCAATATCGAACACTTTTACCCCCTTCCTTTCCTTGCCACTTTTCATGTAACAATGTACCCAAATGAAATTGTTATCGTTTTTTGAGACAGATAGCACTTTCTTTTGGTGATATTTAATCACCACTGAATTTTCTTTATTGTTATGTCAGCTTAAAAATACCAAACGCTCGAAAAAAAACTACCTTTTTTCTTATTTTCTGTTTTTGCAAATAAATAATCTTTCTTTATAAGTTTAGGCCCAAATGTATTCTGATACATTTCTTTAGTAAACATAATCCAAATTAGTGTATATTATTTAGTCTGTGTGAAAGTTATAGAGTCTACAAACTATCGTATATGTCATGTTTCACTGTCATATGCCTTTAAGTGTTTATATTTTGTCTCTGCTCCTCCTATTCCTCTGGTTTAGTTCATGCTGTATAGATAGCCCACCCCTTTACCCAGCAAGGCAATGC